CTTCCTGCATCTGGAGGTGTAGATGTCTGTGATGGTGGGGAGACTGATTCCAACAGATTTCTGTGCAGCCTTCACCACTCTCTGCAAAGCTTTTCTTTCTGCAGCTGTGCAGCCTCCATGCCACACATTGATGCTGGAGCACAGGATGCTCTCCACTGCACACCTGTAGAAGGAGGTGAGGACTGAGCTTCCCAGACCAGCTCGCCTCAGCCGTCTGAGGAAGTAGAGTCTCTGATGAGCTTTCTTGATCAGGCTGGTGGTGTTGTTGCTCCAGCTGAGGTTAATGAAACTTTCACAAAGTAATCACTGGATGAACATCTACAGCTGATTACCTTTTGGTAATTAATTCAGTTTAAATGACATCAGTCAACTCAAAAATGGCTGTTCCTCGATCAGTTTTGGAGAAATTGAGCTTAAATGTGTTGTGGGTCATGCACAACACAAACGCTTAGCGTGACTTCTCTCTCACAGCATCGCATGAGATCGTGCATAACACAATTTTCAAGTTTTAACCAAAACTAATCTAGTCATTTTTTATCATGTGATGATCTTTGTCAATAACTTTGAGGCGAAAGGCCGCAGGCAATATGCATTCCTTCAAAGAATGCTAGACCTTTAATTTTTATTTGTGTATATTTAAACAATGTTGACAGAAAGAAATATCCCGCATTTGTTTTTCTTCTAACGTAGACGGTAGAAAACAATTAATTTTTCTATATTCACAGGGGGAGGGATATTTTCTCAGCATTCCTCAGAGAGTGGCCAACGAGAGCAAGGATGTTGTTCAAAGTGAGTAATAACTCAATCCACCGTCACATCATTTGTTAAATCAATAAGTTTAATAACCAGTGTACATCGCTTTGTGTTTTTAGACAGCAAGCAGCTGCTGAGTGACATAAAGAGACAAATCGCGCAGGTTTCCCAAGATCTGCATTTACCTGTGTTGAATAATCTGTCCCAGACTCTGACCCAGGTGCAGAGTGAAATCAACACGTTTTTACCCGTAGTAGAAAACTCAGAGTTCATCAGGTAAAACCTCAAAAGGTTTAAAAACGTATGCAATGTGGAAAAAAATTGTGTGTAATCATTGGTTGAATTTTCCTTAGATGGAGTGTGTGTGTGGCCATTTGCTGCGTCATCCTCCTGGTGGTGGTGTGTAACCTTCTGGGCCTGGTTGTGGGCCCTCTGGGTCTCTCAGCCAAAGCAGACCCCACGAGCCGCTCGTGCATGGCGGACTGCGGAGGCGTCTTTTTCATGATGTGAGTGCTGGCATGTTGAACAGGATCATCACACAGTTAAAACCAGTTCACTTCCTGACGCGGACCTCTGACTCGGATGTGCTTGCAGAGGCGCAGGTTTCAGTTTCCTCTTTTCCTGGCTCTTCATGATCGCGGTGCTGCTGCTGTTCTTGCTGGGTGGAAACGTTTACACTCTCATCTGCCAACCGTGGAACAACGGACAGCTGCTAAAGGTAGTGACACACGGTCAGCTGTAAGAAATGCATAATTAAAACCTTCACAATTACATGCTAATGCAAGAAAATCTGACTTAAAACAGTGTACCTTAGTAGTATTTCATTTTATTATTGTATCCGGGATGTCTTAATTACCTCATGTTTTCTACCACTGTCTCATTCTGGTGCCTTGTTGCACCATCCTACCTTGATCTACTAAAGGAAGGTAGTCATAGAGCTGAGTTGGTTAGTATGAATGACCAGAGGTAGCTTAAAGAAAGGATCATCTGTGAAGCTAAATAACAGAACTTTATACTATGTCCTGTTTGTTCTTGGAAGCTGAAATTTCCAGTTCAAAATCATGAAAATAAAAAGAAGTGGCTCTTGAAAAGTCACGAGTTCTGACTCAAAAGCTCAGAAAATCCAGACCAACCTCAAAATCATAGGATGAAGAAAAATACGTGATCAACTAGGCCTGTCACGATCAACAATAAATCAATTAACCGCATGATAAATTAAAATGATCAACCTCATTTTCATTTATCTGCTTTATCGTTTCTTCGTGTTTCTCTCTTTCTACTGAAGACACTGGATGACAAAAAGCTCAACTCCGGTGCTCTTCACTGACCCCTCCCTTTCTCTTTTCGCTTTAAAATCCATTTTAACCATCCAAAATCGCGTTTATGGATCGCTAAATGCGGCTAAACTGAGAAGCTAAGCTATGAGCTAAGCTAACAGGCCGACCTCGGGGAAAAAACCTCCATCTTGTCGAAGCTCCAAAATTCACAGTTGAAACCCGTGCCTTTGTGTAAAAAGTTGTTTTTCTCTGCAAAAAGAAGCTGAGAACTTGTTTAGTGATTTTTTTTTAATTAAAAGCTTTGTGTGAAAAATGCTCTGCTAAAGAGCTCGAACCACACTGAGCGTCCGCCAATTTGAGAACCGAAAAACAGGAACAAGAGACAGCCCATGTCACGTCAAGGGGCCTCCCTCCCATTTTTCTTAGGGACACGCTGCTCGCTCCCTCACTATCCATCCTTCGGTTCAAACAGTCTTATACTGCCACGCAGTGGTCGAAAAAAGGTACTACACACAAAACAAATTAACATTTCTTCTTAAATTTGACAATAATCTCCAATTATTGTCAAATTTCAAACAATATTATCGTTTATCGCAATAATTTTTGAGACAATTAATCGCCCAGCAAAATGACAGGATCAACTTCTGCTGCTCACACTAGCCTGGTGACTAAGCAAACCAACCAGTAAATTCTGCAGATTTTTTCTACTCACAATTGGAAGACGCCCAGTGCAACATAATTCCCAGATCTTTTATTAGAACGTGACAATACTGGAACAAAGGTTTAGAATAGCAAGACAGCCCCAAGCTATGATGCTCCCTCTGCCATGCTTCCCAGTTAAACATCTTCAAACATGACACTGCTTTTTTTTTTGTTTGTCAAAACACTCCAGTTACATAAAATCACACATGAAAATATCCCACAATCCCACTGTCTTTTCCATCCGCAGTTCATTGATACACCAGGAGCAATTCCAGGGTTGGATATAGGCCAAGCTCTAGGACTCAAGACCACCATTGGTATCTCTGATATCTATAGGTAAGTAATGCCATTGTATCTCTAACAAAAGTACAAATCCATAAACACATACTTCAATGGCAGGATTTAACCCTTTCTGTAGTGAAAGCCATTTCGTAGCTGTTTATCACACCAGACAGGTTTATATTTTCTGCTCTGATTTAGATATATATGTAGCTTCTCTATGTGTCTAAAACAAGGGTCTGCAACCTGTGGCTCTGGGGCCACATGTGGCTCTTTAATACCTCGGCTGTGGCTTCGACCAAAACTAAAATGAAACTGAATTTTATTTAAATTATTGCCAACAATAAAAATGACTACCGGTAGTTTAAGCAGATTTCCTGTCATTTTTAAATATGTGAAGAATAGTACAAATACAAGGCATAAAACATGTGGACTACGTCATGCTAGTAGTTTGTTAGCCACTTTCATTTGACTTCCAGTCTCTGCCTGATCTTTCTCTCGAAACCACCAGAAAGTTTTGGAATGTCTTTAAGACAAGTTGCTGCGAAGGAATATTTGATGACACTAAGAATAAAAGACAAAAAAAAACAAAGTCAAAGTAAACAATTTTTTTAATTTTTCTTCACAAATGTAACCGGATATCCAAAAAACTGGCCTAATTTTATACCGTCTTTAACTTGATTCTTTACGTAGGACAATTAATTCTTCAACAATTAAGAAAACTCACATCGGCCTGCAGAGTTCAGTGTTTTCATTTTTATAAAATTATTAAAAAAATATGTATATATTTTTTTCTTTCTTGACATGAATCTGGTATTTTCTTTTGTATGAAAATGTAACAATATCAATAAATGTTAATAATAGACTTTTTTCGTTTCATAACATCACACCCACTGGCCAGAAAAGCCATCTCCAACAAACTTGCAGTGGTCCATGGGCCACCAGTTGACAGTACACAGTTGTAGCAGGTTTTGCGTCTCTGGACATCATAATTAATAAGCAAAGTGGCAAAAATGGCTCTTTTTATTGCAAAGGTTGTATACCCCTGTTTTAAAGGATTTAGGCTGATTTATGTAAGAAAATCATATCTGATGAATATCTTTCCAGAGACTGTCTGAACAACGAGCCTCTGTGGGCAACACTTCACTTGAATGAGGTTGTAGACCTTGGAGACCTGCTCAATGTATCCAAAGTATGTTATACGACACTCATTTCATTACAATTATCCAAAAAAAACGTGAATATACTATTTTTTTTTTCTTCTGAACTCTTCTGTCTGTCACTTACAGTACACGGCACAGATCCAGGAGGAGTTTGGCAAAACAAACATCACCCTGTCCACAATCGCTCTCCTGAGCCCTGAACTGAAAAGCCAGCTTGGCAACATGTCTGCCAATTTAGAAAACTTAAACACCGCCTCTGCCACACAGCAGGTAGGCCGTGTTTTTGTGTAGTATCACTTTCATTACGTGTATTTTTATGTGCAACGTGAAAATGCAACCACGTTATTGTCTTTCTTTCAGATGAACAACATTATCAGCATCAATCTGAATACAACCGCAGACCGACTTTTACAATCGAGTAGTGTTCAAGTGAGTTTCATAACAGAAATTCTTCAATCCTCTCCGCTGTGCAGTTAATTTGCTTAGTGGCCAATTTTCTGCCTGTTTTTAGCACGATGAAGCTGTTAAAAAAGAGCTGGAAAACGAAGCCATGAAACTAAAGCAGATTCAAGCCGACATTGAAACAATCATCTTTCCACAAGTGGTGAGCCCTCACTTCATCGTTTCCTCGTTGAGGTAATCCAATCTCAACGTGACACCTAACTTTGTTTCCCCCTCAAAAGAAAAACCTGAATTCTTCCATCGAGAGCCTGAAGTCCAACGCAAAAAAAGTCGATGTGAGTGCACCGGCTAACACCTGGAGCAGCAAAGAGCAGAGGTCATTATTTATTTTTAATCCTGACTGTTCTCTTTCAGGGAACAGTGGGGGAGGTGCTGAGCAGCGCTGGAGCAGCACAAGACTTCCTCAACACATATACAAGCCAGATTGTAAAGACCGTGAGTAGAGGCACGGATCACATGAGTTGGAAGAAATGTGCTCCATGTGGTCTGTTAATGCCCGAAGTCGCTCACTCTGTTAGTGAGTGGGGGCAGAGAGGGAGGGGGCGACTTAGATAGGGCGTGTAGTGGGAACAGTGTCCACATCCACAGAATTACATTTAGTGTTAATGTTAATCACGTTTCTGACTCTGCTAACCTGTTAATGTGATGCATTTTATTAACGCTTGAAGACACAGTGAGCAAAGAAGTTGTGAACTACAAAAAACGACTCAAGGGTTTCGTACAAATTAAACCCAAGAAATTAGGGCCATTTTCCTGAAGGGCGTGGCCGGCATGCCGTAACAAGTTCCATCTAATGTTTTCATTTTAAACTAACAATGACAGGAAGCTAAAAATAATCAAGCCTGAAGTGTATATTCACCTGACACTTGATGTCTATGACAAAAAAAAATATGAAACCATCACATTCAGAGGATGTTCACTGATCTAATTTAATGTCTGTAAAATATACAAGAAGAGTGACTTTAAAGTTACGGTTATATAGTAGTTATACTGTAGTTTTATGTATTCTTTGATTCCCATCTACAAAATAAAGCTGCTATATATAGATGTCGCAACAGGGGACGTGTCCCCCTCACATTTAAAAAATATTCACCCCCCCATTTACCATGTAATATTAATTCACCCAGCACTGTTTCTATTTCCTCGTGAACTAATCCATTCCACTTGAGTAATAAAAATAAAATAAAAAATAAAAAATGCATACAAAGCCGAACCCCGCCCCCACCTAGGACTGTCAGACCACATCTCAATCTTCCTGGCTCTTGCTTACATGCCCCCGCTGAGACGCTCCAGACCGGTACAAAAGAAAGTTAAATGTTGGATCCAGGACAGTGGCCCCATACTGAGAGATTGTTTTGATCGAACAGACTGGCAGGTTTTCAGAGAAGCTGCTGAAAATGGAGGTTCGCTTGATCTTGACCAATACACATCCTCAGTACTGGGTTACATTAGTACATGTACTGACACAGTCTCCACTATCAGATATGTTAAAAGCTACCCAAACAGAAAACCTTGGCTGAATGCAGAGGTGCGTACCCTGCTGGAAGCCAGGAACACTGCCTTCAGGTCTGGAAACTCAGAGGAGCTGAGTAGGACAAGAAAAGAGCTGGTTGCTGGTATTAAGAGGGCCAAGGCCACATATGCAAAGAGGATCGAGGGTCAATTCATCTCACAAGACCCTCGGAGCATGTGGAGGGGCATTAAGTGCATAACAGATTATAAAGGAAGGAGTGAACAATGCCCCAAAGACCCATCTCTGCCTGATGCCCTCAACAAGTTCTATGCACGCTTTGAAGACCCGAACAGACCACCCAGCACCAGACTCACCTCACCACCGGATGAAGAGCATCTCAGCGTGACCTCAGCAGAAGTAAGGAGTACTTTCAGGAGGATTAATCCGCACAAAGCAACTGGCCCAGACAACATCCCCGGAAAAGTGTTGAAGGAATGTGCTGATCAGCTCTGTGAGGTGCTGGCAGACATCTTTAACACCTCACTTACTCTGGAGACAGTTCCCACCTGCCTGAAGACTGCCACCATCATCCCAGCCCCAAAAAGCTCTACAGTGACTGGTCTGAATGACTATCGGCCAGTGGCCCTCACCCCGATAGTCGCTAAATGCTTCGAAAAACTGATCATGACTCACATCAAAACAACCATCAACATCAACGAGGACCCTCATCAGTACGCATACCGTGAGAACCGATCAACAGAGGATGCAATCTCCTCTGTGGTCCACACTGCACTCAACCACCTGGAGCAGAAAAACTCTTACGTCCGTATGCTCTTTGTGGACTTCACATCCGCCTTCAACACCATGATCCCCCAAACCCTGATGGACAAACTATCCACACTAGGACTAAGCCCCTCCATCTGCAACTGGGTACTAGACTTTTTAACAAACAGACCACAGTTAGTGAGGATCCACAACCTCTCCTCCTCCACCATAACCCTCAGCACTGGCTCTCCTCAGGGATGTGTGTTGAGCCCCCTCCTGTTTACTCTGCTCACATATGATTGTGCAGCTACCCATCCAGGCTGTCACATTGTAAAGTTTGCAGATGATACAGCGGTGGTGGGATGCATCACAAACAATGATGAGTCCAGCTACAGGCAGGAGGTGGAACACCTGGAGAGCTGGTGCAGAGAGAATAACCTTCACATCAATGTGAAGAAGACAAAGGAGATGATTGTGGACTTCAGAAGGAACAAAAACACCTACACCCCCCTGAACATAAGAGGATCTGCGGTGGAAGTGGTCTCCAGCTACAAGTACTTGGGTGTACACATGAATGACAACCTCAGCTGGAGCAACAACACCACCAGCCTGATCAAGAAAGCTCATCAGAGACTCTACTTCCTCAGACGGCTGAGGCGAGCTGGTCTGGGAAGCTCAGTCCTCACCTCCTTCTACAGGTGTGCAGTGGAGAGCATCCTGTGCTCGAGCATCAATGTGTGGCATGGAGGCTGCACAGCTGCAGAAAGAAAAGCTTTGCAGAGAGTGGTGAAGGCTGCACAGAAATCTGTTGGA